CGGGAAACGAGCGCTGTAGCTGCTTGGCCGCCCTGCCGGGCCCTGGTGCGGGGAGGCGATGCGGGAGCTCAGCCGCGAGGTGTCACCGTCCTCCTGCCGCCTGCCTGCGGGCTGCTCGGGGGCTGCAAGGTCTCCGGTTAAACCTGGCAGCGGCTTTACCCCATCTGCGGTGCCTCTGAGGACCGCAAAAGCCCGTCGGGTGATGCCCTGGTGGCTTATGTACCGGTGTCCTGACAGGCGGCCCGAACAGCCGCGCTCCTGGTTTCGTTGCTGGGTGGTGTCGGTTCGTCTTTTTTTTCCCACGCAGGTGGGTGTTTTGGGTACTGTGAAGGTGTCTGTGATGGCAGGTAAGGGTGAGGTGTGCAGGGAGCTGCGCGCCCTGCTCCGACAGGCCGCGGGGATGTGCCTCCAGGTTGTGTGAAACGTTTCCATCCAGAGAAATATAAAAGCAATTCAGGGTTTTATCCCGTGTGGGTAGTGACGCGCCCGGATCACTTTGCCAAAGCTAAGTATATAAAATAAACCATGCCCGTGCTTTCTGAAATCTTTGCTTCAAATGTGGTGAAGTGCTTTTTATTTCAGCTCAGTTGTGTCAGGTGGCAGGTGCCTGTGCTCCGTGACAGTCCGTGTAGATGGTCACAGGCAAGAGAGCTGCAAATAGCAGAGAGTTCTCATAGGAGGCCCGCAAGGCATCAAGGAAGCTGTAAAGCAAGAGAAACTTTTAGGAAAAGAAGTAAAAAAAAACCCTACCACAAACAAACAAAAAGAGCAAGGCCGGGTGTGGGAGGCAAGGGTAAAGAGGAAGGAATGTGTTTATAATTAATTAATGAGAAGCTTGCAGAGTCAGTGCAAGACTGGAAGTTGTTTTGAGGTTACCAGTGGGGTGGTGGAACAAGAGGGGCTGTAGGAGCCCACTGCAAGTGTTACTGCTGTGGGAGGGGAAAGCAGGCCTTCAATATTTGCTTGTTGTCTGGGCAGCAAAGTTACTGAATAAGCAGCTTGGCCCAGCCGTGCCAGAGCACTATGACCCTTCAATTTTACTAGAACCAGTACAACTCTTTGATTTTGGGGATCTAACTCGTATTTTCTGAAAAACTGGGTTGAGCTATACACCTATATACCTATTTCTGCTTTTGGTCTGAGGAGACATTTCCAAGCTGCTAGGGACATGTTTGAACGTTGTTGTTAATTAAAATTACCTTGGTATAGTATTATTGCTGTTTTTCCATTATTTTTTATTATTATTATTGCTACTGTTGTTTCCTGATTACCCTTTTTTGAATGTCCTGCCCCAAATTGATTTATTTATCCCTTTAATAAACCGCATATTCTTAAATTCTAATTGGGAGTCAGCTGCTTTCATTGGGAACATTAGTGAGTACCAGACAGGTATCTCACCCTAGAAGTCAGTGCCAAAGCTCACTGCTCCTCTGTGAGAGGCCAGTGCCACGTGCAGACCTCTCAGCAGATCCCGACAAATTAAGATCTCTCCAAAAAGGAAATAAGTGGCGGATTGTGACAGTACTATTTGCCCCAGTGCTGTTGGAGAACAATTAATAGAAGTGCACTGAAACCTGTTTTTAACCTGCTGCAGTGGTGGGATCAAAGAGGACCAGCAGTACTGCATCGGAGTTGTATCTCTGGTTCCTGCCAGCCCGCGGGTGCTGTCTTTGCTGCTGTTCTTGTAGACACTAGGTTCAATGCATCTGTGATACATAGAAACTGCCTACAGGCAGGTCTGGTCCTAGCAGGCAGATACTTAGTTTTAAAAAATATGTGCCATCCTGAGAGTTTTGGCAGATGAGAGACACAGAAAGAAAAATAAATACCTGAACTAAACTTGACATAAATATTTTTTTAAGTAGTGTCGTTAATCTTGATATGTAACTGCAAATGGAAAAAAAGTGCAGATCCTATCACTTATGTTTTCAAACCAAAATTATGAAAGTTCCTTTTCTCTGTAGCAGCACAGCTTCCTCTTGACCCTAGTCCTGAGCTTGTGGGGTTGGACTGGACTGGTAAATTCCAGTTCTGAAGGCCTTAATTTCTCCAATACTACTAAAAAAAACAGATTAAATTATTCATGGTTTTCAGCCAAAATTAACAATCCTGCTTCCCCCTACAACTTCACCTCTGAATCTCATTTTCCCTAGGTTCCCTTTGCTTCATGTCCCCCACAAGCTTTGTTTTTCAGTGTGACAAGCCTGCTCTCAGAGCTTGTATTCTTGCCCTAGGCCACTGTGGGACTTCAGAACCAGTGACTGGAGAGCATTCTGGAGAGGTGAGAAAGCACCTTAGAGGGTGGAGCTTTGCACATTTAATTTTAAACTATCATTCATTGAACTGCTAATTGGAAAATCAGTTGTTGGTGACTTTCATCTCTAAGCTCAAATAGACTGTGTGCTGCTGTTACTTCTCAGGCCCTTTCTAAACTCTCTCTTCCTTGAACAGGGGCTATCTCGGTTGTCTTCCTATTGGGCCAAGCAGTCTCTGCTTTATTTTCCATCTCCCTGTGTCGAGGGCAGCTGTTCAACTGCACTACATTTGCAGAGTAAGAAACAAGACTGATCTGCTTCTATTGCCCCTTCATTGTAGCCTCACTGTTTGTCCATCTTGAAATTGCCCTTTATCACATCTCTGGGAGGCAGAGCAGTATCATCTATGGAGTGTAATCTATTGGAGTTAAACCACACAGTCCAAGAACTGCATTGGGCAGGAGGCATGTGTAAAAAGCAGACCCTGATGGTGAAGAACCTAACTACAGATCTTCAGTCGTTATCTCAAGACCACCCTCCCTGATCATGTATGGAGAACCAGTGACTGCTCTGCTCATTCACACCCCCAAAAACTTATCAAATGCCATGTCTTCTGATGTCTGTCACTCATAAGATGGGTGAGCATCTGTGAATCCTATCATATCAAGTTGTGTACTCCTTAGAGTACAACACTCTGTGAAGTTCCTAAATCAAGCTGAGGTTACTTTCTCACCTTGTGACCAGCTGTGTTAAAGAAAACTGATTCATGAATCACAGGCAAAGCTATGCAGCTGCATTTCATGTGTGAAATCAAAACTATGATGAAGAGACAGAATTTACACCTGGAGGAGTGGGGGGGAAGGTGAGTGCTAAAACTTCTCCCTCAGTGCACAGAGGAAGTAGCCAGGGCTATGTCCTATATATGATGACATTGAATTACACAGTGCAAGACTCTGCACTAAGCACATGGAAAAGCATCTTCTCTGGTCATCTCTCTTGGAATCTGCTTGGTTTTGGCCTTAACGCTTTTTAAAAACACATTTTTATAATTTCAGCTTTGCCCATGTGATATTGAAGGTGCAAGGTTTGAATCTGGATTGTAGCATCTGTCAAGGAAGTTGGTGGGAGGTCTGTGGGTTGTAGGAAGGAAGAGTTTCAAGCAGCCGTTGGATCTGTTCTGTAAATAGCTGGTTGGCTAAAGAGCATGTTTTGTTTAGAAAGTGTGAAACCCTTCATAGAATCCTTTTCATATTATTACCCACCAGAGGAAGCAGAGCTCAATGGAGGGATTTGTGAACCGTTTGTTCAGACTTACATGCTAGCACCTCAGGTTAGAAACAGAAAATAATCTGTGGTTTCCTCTCCCTTGTAGAAGAAATTGAAGAATTCAGAATGGGCTTCTCTCAGAAGTGAGATGTAAATTGTTGTATTTATCACAGCAAATGGATAAGAATGATTTGTGTTCTGTAGTGAAAAAAAAACCCCAACTAGATAATTAGCATTTCTGAGTAACAAACAGAGAAAGCAATCATTCACCCAGCAATCATGGAGACTTGCAGCTGGCTGTGTGTATCAGAGTCAACTGTCTGTATGAGGATTATATTACTTTTCCAACAGTTGTTGCTCTTTATGTATGGATTTTTCTCTCTATTATTGTCAGACTTTTTATTTGAAAAGTTGCTTCCTCTTCTGAATTTTTAGCCTTCAGAAATTATTCTGAAGTTTTCACTGTTCTGATGACACATGCGATAGGGACTGACTGCTAACAAAATTCAGAGAAAAATGTAACCACAGCGCTTAACCAAGGTGGGTTTCCTTTTCCTGTAGTCAGAAATTGTCCTCATGGAGATAAACGATGGCCACAGTAACTGCTATCTGACTAATGCCAGCAGAGTAGCAGCATGTTTTAATCACCTGAACTTCCCAGCTGGATGTCACCAGTTATATGGCCATAAAATGCCTGCTGGATTGGCAGCCAACCAGGTCAGCTTCAAAGTAAGCTTGGTTAACTTCATGCTTGAGTTTCCGAGTTGACTTGGTGAATGAGTTACTATGCTGCTTTCCACCTGAGACAGCCATATTTGCCATGCAGAGGGAATGTGTATTAAGAAAAGAGCATTTCACAGCTGCTCCACACAGCTCCCAGAGCCCCGAGACTGTACAGTGGTGGAGGAGCAGGGCTGCTGCCTGGAGCCTGTCCTAGGCAGGTAAAATGGCTCATGCACCCCTGATCACAAGCATGATTTACATTGAACAGGAATGTAGGATTGCATGAATGACACTTGAAAACATCCTCTTTTCCTGAAAGAGGGAATAAATTGATGGATTTAAGGGAAGAAAGATAATGTTGTTGTCATGGAGCTTTTGGCAGCAAGCCACCGGGGCTTTTCTTGGCCTTTTTTGTTAAGGGGTTCCCTTTGTAGGAATCCTGTGAGAAGTATCTCTGGACACATTCGGATGGCAGAAGGATCCAATTCTTAACTACCCTAATTCCTTCTGCCTCTAGGGAACCATTGAGCTTGAAGGCCCTGGAAAAGAGGCACTGGAAATCACTGGCTCCTTGACAACTCTTTTAACTACTGTAGGTTACAATTCAGGATTCTGGGCTGCCTACCTATGTTTGTTTAGAGGTCACCCCTTGATACCCCAGTGCTGTAATCTCTCGGCAACACTGTGGCAAAAGTTTTGTTCTCTGGGTGAAGAGACCTGCCTGGGTGTGATGGGAAGCTGAAACTGTCACTTGCAGTGTCTGGGAGAGGAATGAATCAGCCTGGGAATAAGCAGTTCTGGTGAGTTACTGCAACAAACCAGCTGGTCTCCTGTGATGGCTCAGCACCAAAACTAGAATAGGCAGTAGAGAAATAAGAACTCCCATTCCCAGACTAAAAATAACACAGACGGGGATTTTA